GAATCTGGAGCCCGGATTAACTAACACACGGGCAGGCACCACGACCCTTCGGATGCCTCCACAGGCGTAGCTGTATATCAGCAGAAACTGTTCAGCCATCATCTGACCCGGGGACATTGGACATAGTAGACAGGTCCACAGCGCTTACCCGCGACCTTTTGTAAGGCTCTGCAACACATGTGATAGTACCGCCAGTGATCCGTCTTACTGCCTTTGATCCGATCTCCACCATGACTTGCATTCGTCTCGTTTGGCGCTGATAGATCTCAAGTTGATACATGAGATTCTCTGAACATCCCAGATACTTGAGAGCTTAAACAGCATCGCAAAGAGACAATACATAAGGGACAAAGTGGAATGTGAATTGTTACAAAGGCATGTAACACCGATCAGGTGGCCACACTAAGAACAATGCAACTACAAAGTTGTTGCTTTGTAGCAACGGGGCGTTCATGGTGCTGAGCAGATGACTGACAGAAGAGCATTATACTTTCCTCGAAGACCAGATGAGACTGAACATCGACTGAGACAAGAATTTGCGAACACGGCCAGGCGGTGCACAGGGACAGACTAGGACCAGTGACATGACAGTATAGCATTAAATACAGAAACAGATATACGCAAATCCTCGTTAAAAGGGTACCTACACAAGACTCCTGACCTTAAGAAACTAAATCTAAATATCAACACAATAACCGAATCACCATACTATCACGTGAAAAACATAGACAGACTTTGAACATTCAGGTCTCAACCAGAGACCTGAAAAAGGGAAAACATTTAATTCCACACCTTGGAATGAGCAGCATTTGAATTATCAATGCAAATAGAGTAAATGAAACCAACGTACTCAGTACACAAACGGTTCAGAAGAAATAAGCAACTAAACCAAACGGCCGCTGCCAAGAGTCCTGACCAAAACTAAAAGAGTAGAACACATCACCCAAGGTATTCAGGTCTCTGCACGGTCTACTGTAGCTTTACAGAATCGATTTAAAATTATAGTGTTAACTTATAAAGCAATTAAATAGTTTGGGACCAGTGTATCGACATTCCATTTGCTTTCAGGGGAAGCCCTATATTTTCGAGTGCACCATCCTGATACTAAATATGGTCACATGCACGCTCTGTTGACTGGCGCAAGGCACAGCGGATTTCGGATCATTGCTATAAAATCACTTCTGCACTACTACACGACGGTGTCACTACCGCCGGCGGCTGTTGTTGAAGGCCTCTTCACGCCCTTATCGGCAGGCTCTCTCAGTCTGGAGCTGTCAAACTCGACCCTAACGACCGCTTACAGACCGGCCAACTAACAGATTGTTCACGTTTCACGTTGTCATTTTGAACTCCTTCGGCTTCTTTGCTTGTGAATCCAAAAAGCTGCTTACCTTGCTGTTTTGTTTTGCCATATTTTTTATTACAAAAGCCAGATTTTAAAAAAATATTTCATATGACAGCAATTTCAAAATACCGTGCCGGCATTCGCCACCGTAACCTATAGCAACGTTAGTAGCGTAAAGAATGTAGCGTCGCACGTACAGATGGCAACACCCAGAAATATTCACAAATATAAAACAAATATTCAGAAACTGTAAGAACAATAACTATTATTTATTTGAAGGAAACTGTTATTTCAGGAAACTAATTTATAATTCTCAAGTGTGAAATAAATATGCACGATTGGTTTTGGGCGTCCCTTGTTATCTCAAAGACGGCCTTCAGGGAGAGATCAACCTCACAAGCTAACTTCGGGGGAGCCAACATCCCCTGAGCTCCCCACCCATTTACGAACCAGTTTTTGAGGACCCCAAATGTCTGACATGAACTGACACCTGTTACGAGCTCCCCAGAAGCTCTGAGAATCATCAAGGGGGCAGAACTTACTACAAACCCCCCACTTTTTTCACCGGCTCAAGAACAAAAGCACGCCGAAGCTGACTTATTAGTTTTTTATGTCACCCACAATGGAATAAAAACTTACCAGAAAAACCTGAAGGTCTTCACCAACGATGAGTTCTTTAAATCGAAGGCTAAAAAACACTACTTTTTACGCTGCTTACCCAGAGCCTTTATAACTTGTTTTAGCACTATTACACGATATTTACCAAATGTATAGTTTTTTAAAACTAATTGTATAATCTCAATTAATGCATTGTTTTTATGAAAACATTGTTATTCCATATATGTTTAATTTATTGTGTTCCTCGACTGTATGCATATATATCATGTAGTTAAGTGATCATGTAGAGCACTATGAATTGCACTCATAGCGTCTGAAAATGTGGCTAAACGTACCTTACCTAGATGGCACATCAACCTAGGCCGTTGTTCTCAGGGATGGTTGCAGTTCATGGCAGAGGTGTTCACAGAACATCTATCAACAGGCCACTGCTGCCAAGTCTGTAGTCACCACACATTAGTTATAAAACAACTCCACCATCGTTACCTGATCCCAAAAAGACAAAATCACCAGCCATACAACCGGGAACTACCGCCCAGATATAGCATTCAACCTCCATCATCATGAAGTGCTTTGACAGGTTAGTCAAAACCTTCATCAACCTCCTTCCTCCCATGGACTCTCTGGACCCCCTGCAGTTGGACCATACAGAGCAAAACAGGTCCACAACACGCCATAGCCTCACCATCCACACTGCCCTCTCACACCTGGGACCAGAGGGAACACATATGTGATGAATGCTGTCATTGACTAACAAGTTCAGCCTTCAATCCATTGGCCCTCCCAAGCTAGGTCAAATCAAGCATCAGAGGGGGGGGGGGGGGGGGGGGGGAGGAGGCGACCTCGGGCTCAACAGACAAGCATCCTCGTGACGATTCGGCTGAACTCGACGGCAGAAACCCCAGCAGTGCGGGTGGGAAACATGCACATTTACACCCTTGATCCTCAAACACCAGTATCCCTCAAGGCTGCGGTGCTCAGCCTCTCCTCTACCCCGGTTCACTCACGCTGCGTGGCTCCAACAAACCATGTGAAGTTTTGCTTGACGACACGACGCCGACATCGGCCAGATCACAGACGGCGTCAGAGAGGAGGCCGAAAACATGACATCTTTGGTTTCCAGGATAACAACCTCCATCTCAACGTCAGCAAACAAACGGTGCGATTGTGGATTACAGGAGAGCAGCAGAGAGAGGACACGCCCCCATCGCCATCAATGGGACTATGTGGAGGAGTTCAGCAGCTTCAGATTCCTCTGGGGCACCATCACTGAGGACGCTGACATGGACTCTTCACACCACCACCATCACCAAAAAAGTGGTAACTTGTTACTAAAATGTGGCGGTCCTCCACGCAACTCTAACCAACCCATGGTACGCACTAAGCAACCAAAAACGGGAGAGAAGAGGAAACTGGCGACCACCGTTGGCAGAAGGAGAATGAGAGGAATATGTGGAAATTAAACCATAAATAAAATGTTACCTCTCATTATCATATACAGTATGAAGAATTAATGTTCACACATTGATTAGAGGCCAATCTCAAAATGATTAAATCAAACGCCTTTTGAGATCTCCTCAGTTGACACAAAAACATAACTTGGAGAAATAAATAAACACGGATATGTTCTTTAAAACCACCGGATATGTTGTGTTAGATTGTTATGGGAAATGTATTCCTCATAAATTATGGCGTGTAAGCAGGGAGGACAGAATTACTTTAAACTGATGCCGTTTTGCATTTCTATAAGGTTGTAAGATACGAGCATTGGTTTTATATAGCTCTACTATCAGTTTAATCGTGTTTCATGCCATTTGCCAAGGACTTGATTAAGTCGCTCGTAAAACACAGGAGGTATGGAAACTAAGAGCACCATATAGTGGTAAATTGTACAGCTAATATAACACAACACATTAGTTGTATTCCTTTAACTGGTGGATAATGGATTATATCGTTCGCTGATCGACAGCTGGACACAAACCACCAACATACAAAAACATACATTCAGGATCCAGTCGTCATGACTCCGACTCCGGAGGATTCCCCGATCATTTCTTACAGTTGTCTTCATCAAGGGTGTCTCCTGTCCCGGTACAAACACACTGCCGATGGAAGCTATGTGTATTTTTTTTGTCATTAACCTTTTCGGACCGCTTATTATTTATTTTGGTGACGATCGACCTCGCATGCTTGGCTACTTCTGGTTCAAACGGCATCCAACCAAAGCAATATGATTTATCTCGACCTCCCCAAAATAACCAAATNGGAAACGTTACTCGTGGATGGGGCTACAGAGCTACTAGAAAGACAGTCAAACCCGGTGCATTTCTCCGTCTGAATGTGGTGCACTTTTGCTAAATGTTTAGACAAATTGCTCGTGTTACTGCCCTTACATGCTAAACTCTTATTGCACTTTTGGCAACGAGCATTGTCCACATCGAGACGGGTAAAGTTTAACCACACCTCGGAGCGCATTCTCTCCGCCATCTATGTGTGTTGCTGCATGTAGCAGCTGCGTGTGTGTAAACTGCCCCGCCCCCTCCCACACAGACAGGAGAGAGATCTCGTCTGATCGAAAATACATCATAGACGCATTTGTTTGTCTTTTTGCATATTAGAAACGAGTTGGCGACACTAAGACTGCGATATAATATTTTTGAAGCAATAATACATGACATATATTTTTTAAATGTCTCCAATACCGATAAAAAGACCAATAACGTTGGAGCTTAACGGCGCATAAAACACGTGATGACGTCACCAACTAATCGACGACTGAATTAGTTGGCAACTAATTTGGTAATCGATTTTAATCGATTAAGTCGATTAGTTGTTGCACCCCCCTACTGGGCGGCCCATCCAAGTATAGTCTATGTGTGGGAAACATTGGCCATTATTTTTGACCTATTGCTCTGCATCAAGTTTTAAGTAATCACTTTGCATCTGAAAGCCACTCTTAAATTAGATGATCCTTCCATTTCAGTCACACTGAAGCATCATTGACTGAGGCTTAAGGAAGGTTTTAAAGACCAAAGGCTGCTGGGAACACAAGTCAAGAGTGAAGAGAACAAGGGACACAACAGAAACACTCACCTTCTTCATACACCAGCTTAGCTGTGTGGTCAACCTCTGTCACTGTGTTGCTGCTGTCACTTGTCGCCACCTAGTGGTAAAAGGGAAGATTGCCATTAGAGATTCAAAGAATTGTAGACCTTTTTTTTACTCGGCACTAGTGCAAAATGCACTTTGTTTTCAAGATGTGTTAGAATGCACCTTTACCCAGCACTGCAGTTTTCTGTAGCTCAGTGTATATTATGGAATTGGACAGTGACAATACAATATACATCCAAATGTCCTTGAATTCATTGTGTGTTTCTAAGGAAGCATGACTTTTCACCTGCCTTCTCAACAAGGTCAGACGCTGTCAACCATGCATTATGCAAACTGATAATAATCCCTGTAGGTTCTCGTCTTTGTAAAATCCACAGGTGCATTTTGGTTGTGATGCAGATGTAAGGGGCATAGAAAAATAATCCTGTCCACTTTCATCAACAGATTGTTCCAGTCCAGGCAATGGGCACTGAAAAACTTTTAGCACAAGGCTATAGAATCAACTTTGCATTTTCAAAGTTATTGTCCTTGTGGGACTGAGGCACCAGAGTGCTGGGGTGGAAGCACAAGTCTTAACTCGAGGTTAGAAATAAATACCTTGAGTCAGTTATATATTGAAATAAACCTTGTGCAAAGGGTCGATAGAAAGTCCAATAATATGCGTAGATTTTGTAACATTTGTCAAGCTTGTTGGTCGAACTTTATACATGGGACAACGACCCTGTTAATTTCCCCTAAGGGGAGGAAGGAGAAGGTGCATTGGTTAGTCGGCACTCAATCGTTATTGGGCGAGGTCTAAATGTTTTGATCAGGGGTCTCTAACAGGTCCATCAGACTGTGGAGTTGAGTTCTGATACTGGGAACTACATTATCATCGAAAAGGGAATCAAAGCCTTCCCTATCTCTGAATTCACACCTTAAAAACATCCCTGAGTCATTTAAAAGCAAAGAAACGGCTGTTGTCTCTGTAAATGTCAACACCTACCTGTGTCATGAGGAGATAGAGTTTCCCGTGCAGCTTTGTCAGCTTGTGGAACATCTTCACTCTGCTCTCGATCATGTGATAAAGCACTCCAAGCTGGGTAACCAGGTCTGGCAGCTGTTGGGATAACAGATGGACCAGTCAGTTAAAAACATTTCGGCAGCAGAAAACTCAACAAGAACCGTGTGATGATGTGTCGAGCTCAACTCCTACATCAAACTTTTAACCTGTTAAGCCCTCAGCCTGTTGTTCAGGTCTCAGGCTCGAAAATGACATTCCCAGAACTAGGGATGCTCCGATCGCCAATTTTGGGGGCGATCACCGGAATCGGCCGATAACGATCGCCGATCTGATCGAGGGGGTGGGTGGGGGCTATGGGGATCTTCCATTTGAAGTGATGTTTAAAACTCAGTTAATGGCGCTTCCACAAACAACCTACATAATTATTACATTCAAATGAAGTACATTATTCAAGTTTACATTAACTTTGGATCATAACACGGGAGAAATGAGCGGAAGCGCTCCCTTTCCCTCTCTCTCTCTCTCTCCCCTGACAGCCTGTCAGTATCTCATGCAGCTCACTGATCCAGTAATGAGTGACCCGACAGTGATGAATAAATATATTTATAACTAGTTTAGCTTGTTCCAGAGGTAGATAAAATAGCTAAGTATGTAAGGTCTTACTCTTGTGTGTGTTGCTCCGCTCACCGGTCCGTCACAGCGGGCGGAGCTGCAGGATTTCTGCTTCACACTCGTTGCATACCGCTATTTTATTGTCTTTTTCGGACACCTTAAAATAATGCCAGACCGGTGAAGCCATTTTGGCGAGCTTGTGTTGCCGCGCACAGAGAAAAGTGTCATCTATTTTACGCCATGTGATCGGCCTTTATAGAGAGCACCGATCGATTGACCGAGAGTGAATATCGGCCGATATCGATCGGAGCATCCCTACCCAGAACAAATGACCATATCTTCCCTTCTAAAAAGGGGTAAATTAATAATCTTTTTTCTCAAAGCAATGATAAACCTGTGAGTTGAATGTAGAAAAGTCAGAATCAATAAAGATTTTTTTTATTTTAAAGTAAATTCAGATTGAACATAAAACACAATAAAAGTAAATTATAGTGTCCGTCCAAAAGAAATAAAACATTACTTATAGTGAAAACCACCCTTGAATGATGGGATAGTAGACTAAAAGCTTTGTTGTCTTAACACGATGTTGAAGGGTGATCACGGTGGAGGGCAGCTGCAAGTTATGTACTGTGTGGATTCCGAAAGGGGGTGGACTTGTTGCGTATTTACACCTGAGGGAAATTTTGGACAAATCGGGCTCTGGGGGACATGTCCCCCGGACCCCGACGGCCCCAGAAAAAGTGCTGTGACACAGAGTGCCCGAAGAATTCCGATAAAGGATATTGGATAATTACTAAAGCTAATTACTGCTTGGCTTAGTAAAATGGCGTTTGTTTGTGTGCAGAGTGTTCTTCGCAGATTTAATCGGGACTCGCAGCTTTTTACGACAGCGTGAATCGTGTCTTGGAGTTCATTTTGATGGGAATAATGATGGCATTGACGTGTATGTTCCTTAGCCTAATTTCTACTCTAAGGTGCTAATATCATTCCCATAAACCATTAGTAGTGCACGAAGTATGCCTCGTAAGTGCCCCCTAGCAGAGTTGCATACACATAAGACTAGTTTTTCAGCACAAGTTACGTAATTTTGCCATTTTTGGTGACGACTGCCAATTAGGTTCACAAGAACCAGTGAACTTTAATAAAGACTATTAGGTAGTAAGTGTAAAAAAACAGTTTGATTCTAAAGTATAATCGACGATTACCATCAGGTGGTCTCATAGTGTCGAAGAACAAGGCCCTGTAAGACCGACACGTAGTGGAGATCACTAAGTGGTACCCATTACAAATCTACCTAATCCTTGAAGGGGAGCTAAGATAACCGAGGTTGACACTTTTTTTCCCAGTTAGTAGTTTTAGCTTGCTCCCCCGGTCTCTACAATCTTTTACGTGGGTTTACTGGGGTCTTTCACAAAAAAGATTTAGAGAGATTTTTTCCAGTTTCATAGTGCACAAAACGTAGTTAGAACTATGTCCCGTGAATAATATACAACATTC